CTGACCATTCTCACAGAAGGACCAGCGACTCTGGAATTTGCCTCCCTCCTTGGTCTGACAGAGCTAACATCTGCTATCCTACAGGATACAGCATCCACCTAATTTTTTTCCTCATGCCCTTTGTTTTAAAGTGCTGCCAGTGAAAAATTGCAGGTTGCAGTTCGCTTTCTAAAAGGCTTGTGGGGAAGTAAAACAGGCTTTGCCTTGTCTCTCGGAAAGAAAGTAATTGTACAATTAGGTTTGTGTATGCACCTGAGGCGCACGGTGGTTTTTTAGAGATAAATAAAAGCCTAAAAGGAGAAGCTACAAAGATACCACTGTTTATTTGGGAAAGGCAGGGAGCAGGAGCAGATCTAAAGGAGTTAGCAATTTTCTTGTCCTATAAACATTTTGTTAAACTTCAGTAATTTCCCCCCTAACTTACTATTGCTCTTTTTAAGATGTGTTTCACAGGGTGCATTTTTGTACCTGGTCTTTATAAGGCTGTTGTGCTGAGCTAGCTGCTTTTCATACCTGTCATTTTGCTGCCTAGATAAGCATGTTTGACTTTTGGGGTTTTTCTTAAACTTTGTTTCAGTGTTCTAAGCAAGTTACAGGCCTTTTGTTTCAGTTGTTTTGTGTTATAAAGGATGAGCTCTCTCCAGAGTTCTGTTGTAGCTGGGTGGTTCTAGGGCCTCACCAGGGAAAGTGTGAAAACACCCTGGCTTATTATCCATGATCTGACTGTGCTTTGGGATCATGGAAAGGCAGAAGAAGGAAGAATTTCTGTTTGCTTAGAAATCAGTTTATCTTTCCATATAGAAAGGTATGGGAATAAATATTTGGTTTTGTGCTTAATTAAGTTTTAGAAACTACCTGGGATGGATCCGATATAAAATGTGTTTACGTTAGAGAGGGATTTTTCCTGAAATTGCTGGTCAGGGGTACAGGATTCACTTTCTCTCCATTTAGTTTCTCACAGGTTGATCCTCTGCCTGGTGCTTGCAGTGGGAGGCAGTTTGTGTTCCCTGCATCCTCATAACCTCCCTGAATAAGGCACTTGGCTACTGGCAGGTAGGAGCGATTAGATGGAGCAGGCATGTGTTTCTCAGGAGCTGTTTTTAGCATCCTAAGTACAATTTCCAGGAAGATGTGGGGTAAGTAGGTGGCAAACAGGACTCAGCCTTGTAAACAATGTTTAGTGTGAAGTGGAGCTGCAGTACACTGAATACAGCACGCTGATCCCTAAAGGAATTTTGTACTCTAGAGCACAGCCAGGGCATTACAGATCAGCAAAGAGCATTTAGAATGGCAAGTGACAACATAAACTCTGGTCACAGAGAGCAGGTTGCCGGTTTAGCATTCCCAGAGCCCATGTTTCACTATTAATTTTAGGAAAAAAACTCCCAAATTCAGAACTCTTTATTAGTGTTATGGCTACCAAGAAGCTCGCCCCTAATTAATGTGATGGTACTTTCCCGTCCCTCTACCACTCTCCTTATTGCAAGTCCTTGGCAATATGAGAGGCTTATCTATTACTTAGTCATGAGGTATCCAGACCAACTTGCTTTTGAAACTAAAGCCCGTGTACCCCAGGCATACTGTATTTCTGATTTGCATATGGAAAAGGCAGTTAAAAAGCCAATGCCCCCCATACTGCTTGCGAGTCAAGTAGCAAAAGTAAATGATTTATCAAGCAAAGGTTACAACACCTGTGCCTTTTTGCCAACATATACAAGGGATGCCAAGTCAAGTGTTGCTCCTAATAGCTCAAACAGAAATTTAGATTCAAATAACCTCCCAGATAGGACAATTATGTGAGTGGAATGGCAGAGTGATGGATGGAGTAAGCAGTGTATGGAAAACAAACCATCTGAAAAGTTTGGAAGCTGCTAAAACCAGACAAAGCCAGCAGCCCTTTGGGGGCATTTGTTGCTGAATCAGAACTACTGACTTAAAGCAGTTTATTTCCTGGTTCTTCTGTCATGAAGTGGTCATCCTGCTACAGCCTTTGTTGACACAGGAAGACAGCTTTTTTATAAATATCATATAAATTCTATAAAATTCCTTTAAGGGATTATATTTGATGGAACGTGACATAAATCAGAACATACTGCTAATGGGAATGTATACTGTTAATTTTTCTTACGGGTTAATATCCATTAAGAAAGGCATGTTCTGGGTTTGGTTGTTTAAGAGCAGCCCAGGACAGAACGATCCTTGCTCCAAACCAGCCATGTTGTTGTGCATTTGTCTGGGATTTTATTCCAACGTTCTGTGAATGCCCATGTATGGGAACTGCGACTTCTGCTGAATGTGGCTGCCACATCCCTGTGCACAGACTCGCTTTTGCAGCATTTGAGGACTAATGATGATGGTGTGCAACTAGTGTCTATAGTCCAGTGTTCTAACTGAAAGAGAACATCATAGCTGACCATAATATTGTCCTACAGCTTGTAGCTGGACCCTAATTTTTAAAAAGCAGATGTTCAGATACAATCTTCATTTTATTTTATTGTTCCAGCATTAAAGAGTTGATTAACCCTTATATTTAAGCTTGACTTCCAGAAGCTCAGTGTTCCCTGCTTCCTCTTGTCTCAGGGAGCTGCGTCCCTGGCAGTTAGTGGTCCTCAGGACCCGTATCTTAGCCTGGCTCTGAATGTACTATAAAGATCCTAATCGAAAGCAGCCACCCCAGCTGCTTTTAATAACACAGTCCTATGTATTTTTATATTTTCATTTTGAATATATCCTAAGTGATCGTCCTATACACTGATGCCTTGCAAAAAAAGCACAAAAGCATGTCTTTGTTTAGAGGAAATCTACATAAATCCCAATTCCTTGCAGTTAGCCTTTTTACCTCACTTCTCTGACTCAAAGCACAGTCAACTTCTGAGTTCTTTCATGAATAAGTAGTGACTTTTGCTGATAAATTATATATTTAGTATCAAATGGGTTGTGGTGGTGTAATGATGTATAGAAGCATGGAGATGCAGCTGGAGTCAGAGACTGGGAGTCAGTCTCCTTCCCCACTGCAGCATGTTAGACTTTAATTGAAAGCTGTGCTTGAGTATTGTTTTTCACTGTACAGCATTGTTATTCACTACACTGCATTACAGGGAAGCACTTAAAGTAACGCTAGAGCACTTTAAAGTTATTTAAGTCATAAATAAGAAGGATAAAAGTTTACAGTCAACAAACTTATCTGAGAAACTTAGGCTGCAGGATGCAAATAAGTTTTAAATATTTTTTGAGACATAATACTCTTGTGTCTTACTACATAATCAATTTACCAACTAGTAGTTTTTCGAGTGTTCTGGAGAAGGTAAGTTGCATTCTCCAAAGGGTTTCAGGTTTCCTGAGCAGTATACCTTAACATTCCTGTTTCCCAATTTCAGCATATTTCTGTGTGTTCCAGTTGTTATCAAAATGACCAGAGAAATATGATTTAAATGTGAGGGTGCGTGAGAACTTGTAACATACATGAACCAAATAAAGGAAGAAGCTTGAAAAGTGGGGTGCAGTCTGTGTTTTGTTAAGGCATGAAAAAAAACCCAGAATCTGATGGGTTAAACCCCTCTCTGCATTGCTGCTGTACTTTCTGTGACCCTATTTAATGCAGAGAAGGTTTGAGATTTGATGTAGTTTAACCTGTGCTGTGCACAGAGCTATAAACTAAAGCCCCTAACAAATGGTACACAAATAGCAGACAGCAAGAAAATGCATTGTGTTCGCAGGCAGCTGGTTGCAGCCCTGTAAACTGAAAATCTTTGGAAGCGAGTGACTTGTGTTTCAGTGACAGCAAAGGTGCTGAAGCCATCACAATGAAGAGTCTGTCTTCGTGCATCTACTGTGGCATGTGACAGCCATTAATCTGTACACTAATTATTCAGATGCCTATAAAAGGTTTGAAAGGACTTAGAAGAGTTAAGGGTAGTACTCCCCAGTTTTCTAGTTATTTGAATTACTACTTTTTAGTCATTGCAACCAGCTCAAAACAAAATTACAAATATTTTGTGTCGCTGACCTTTAAAATAATTGCAGTGTAGTCAAGCAATCACTTCAAACTACAGTTGTCTTAAAGTACTGGCTCTGCTCACTTTTTTATACCTTCCTCCCCCCCCCACGATAACGTGATATTAAGCACAGACTTAATTTTTTCAACATCTGGCTCAAATTAGCTGCTAACAAAACTGCCAACAACTATTTTCTTAAGCGACCCTGGGAATCTGATACAGCTTGGAAAACGCACATTTAAACCTCGTCCTTCTCCTAAAGAAACACAAACGTTTACTTGAGCTTCTGATTTGACCATAGCAGGACTATGAATTCAGCTAACCTGCCTCAACTGGACTTTTTTCTCTTTGTGTAAGGAAACAGATGTGCTTGCAATTACAAAATCTCCTGCTCGCTCAAAGCTCACCATGCAAATGGCCAATCAGGAATTTGAATATTTTTTTCCATGGAAATCATTGGAGAAGTCTCTCATTGTGTCTGGTGGGACGGGACCCTAGAGATCATATTGTTCCAACCCCCCTGCCATGGGCAGGGACACCTTCCACTATCCCAGGTTGCTCTAACCCCCGTCCAACCTGGCCTTGGACACTTCCAGGGATGGGGCAGCCACAGCTTCTCTGGGTAACCTGTGCCAGGGCCTCACCACCCTCACAAGGAAGAGTTTCTTCCTACTATCTAATCTAAACACAATTAAATGCAGTGCCTGGGGAGCAGGTTGCAGCCAAATTCTTTGAAACCCCAGTCCTAGCAGAAACAACTGCATGCTGGAAGCCAATATCTTAGAAAGCAAGAGAGATCTTTCCAGTTACGAAAGCAGTGTTATTACTACACAAGCCCAAAAAAACACAACAGACAAACAAACTGCAGGTGACATTTCACTGTAGTTACTGAGACCATGTGGGTGAAGTGACAGCGGCAATGCAGCTGCTCCGCGGGGACACGTTAGAGGACACTGGAGAAGAAAAAGAGGCTGCAGGCATACAGAGAAGTTGAAAGCGGCCCACCTGAGTCTGTTGAGGGATATTTACAAAGCTTGGATCCCGTGGTCCAACACTGACGAATCGGTTTGCGGGGGAGGTGCTGGGTGTCGAGTAGGCTGTGAAGGGAAGGGACACATGCGTTGAGGAAGCGGCACTAGATTGCACACGAACAACACCAAAACACACTGTCTCAGAGCCACCTAAGCAGATGTTCAACACAGAAATGTGCAAACGTTTTAGAGAGCGAGAGTTTGGTTTTAGACACTGGAAAGTTTTGGTCTCAGTGGTGAGGATATAAACACGCAGGGGACTGGGCTGCTGGGAGAGGAGGCGGCTGTGACGTGGGCTCAGGGAAAGGTGTGCTGGGCCACCTGTGCAGCTCTCCAGCTTGAAGGAGAACCACTGCAAGCCTTTCCATGATGGGCTGGCACAGGAGACTTCTGCAGGTCCTGACTGTTTTCACTCCAATGTCTAGTATCTTTATTTTTAACAGAGTTTTGTATAGCAATGAATTTACCCAAGTGCATATTAACAGAACCAGACCATTATTTCATGCTAATCGAGCATTCTCTCTTGATATAAAGTTTTGGTTTTCATACTGCTGTGGTCTGCACTCTCTAAAATGTTCACTTGATGTGTTTGACAAACTAGGAAGATCCTTTCGGTAAAAAATTAATGGGTTGCAGTTTCACTGGGGTGGTAAGTGCAATCAGTCTGAAGGCTGAAGCTGCCTTTAAAAACTGGAGTGGCTCCCATAAATGTAAAGCTATTAAATGCAATGCAAGCCAAGAACCCAGATTACTTCCAAACTTGAAGTACTTTAATGATTTTATTGTTGCATTATATTCTCCACTGCAACTGTCCACAATGCCACGTACTTCCACATCCAAAAGCTTTCAATGCATTTTCAGTCTTCCTCTCACTTGAAACCCCCCACGCAATCTTCTCCCATCTTCAGTTTTTTACATATTTAGATCTAAATTCAAACAACCCAAATGGATGCCTTAATACAAACAGGGATCCTGTCTATTTTAAATATATTTATGGGAATGCATTCTGCTGAATAAAATCCCCAGACAATCTAACCATCCAATGAAGAGACAAAAAACACTGTTAAAAGGAAAGTTAGTTGCCAAATCCCAGTCAGGCTAAATATAATATTCAGGCCTCAATGTTACACAAAAATAAAGTGACTTAAGAGTCCGAGAAGACGCTGAGTTGGCTCTGTAGAGGAAACCCTGTTGCCTTTCTGAAGGCAAATATTTGGTGAAGAGGGATTAAATTGGAGGAGCCTTTGGTTTAAGGCCATGTTGAACCATATCAATGCTCCACCTTACCCACTGTCATGACTCTTAAAGACCATAAGCAGTTACACAGGGAACTGCCAAAACAGGTCACACATTTACTTTCTTCTCTTCTTTCCCACCTCTGATTATTTTCAGCTCATGGTCTCCCTGTATTTAATGGCCCTCAAGAGATTTCTCACTGGTGAATGCCCTCTCTGCCCTTCAACCCATGTAAATGTTCTGCATCCCACAAAGCCCTTGGATGATAAGTTCCCAAGTCTGGGAGCACCCAGACCCATATCCTTCCCTTCCCTGCCTACCCAAGTCTCACAAATGTCTTGTGATGCCTCCTAGTTCTTACAATTACATCAGACAGCTCCCTTTTCTCAGAGAGCATTCCCTGAAATCACCCCAGGAACTTCATATCTTCATTTCCTACTGATATGAGAGGAGATAAAGCACTCCTGGCTTTTCAGAATGAATTCTTCCCACTTGTTTCGAGTGAGGTGAGCTTTTCTCTCCAAGAAGATAACACTTCCAAAAATCATGCAAGAAACACCTCTCCTTCACATAATTTTAAAGGAATTTTTAAGTGCACTAATTCATCTTTCTGAGATGGTTTTGCAAATTGTGGTGTAGCTTAAGTGTTTGAGTATAAACAGGTATGGTGGGTGTTACTCCTACCTGCAAATCAAGGAAGAAATGAACTGAGTAGATCTGGTGAGATGTTCTCCTCACCTTTTACCATGCTAATTTTTTAATAATTCAAAGAAGCCACACTTTTGCAAAGGGTATCTCTCTGTTGCTAGTGCCATATATTAACATTCTTCTGTACTGTTTTATGCTGAGGTATTTTTTTTTTTACTAACTAATGAACTAATGTTTTGCAAGACTAAAAATTCCTTCTGCAGTGGGGAAAATTAACTTAAAGCTAAAAAATCAAACATCTGTTGTTTGGTTCTTCTGGTCTACTTTTAAGGAAGCAGATTGAGTGGAGAGGCCATTTAATCCCTTGGAGCAGGTAAGTTCCACTCAGAAGGGAAGGAACTCAAGATCTTGTTTACAGTTCCCCGTTGGCAGATACTTTTGCTGTGATATTTGGTAGAAAATCAAAGGGAAACCAGCAGAATGCTGACTTAAATGGCTTCTCTGTTCAAACAAAAATTCAAAAGCTTTCGAAAACTGTGTAATATGCACAAAAGTCCCCTCAAAGCTTGCTGGGTGAGTTGCTATGTATACCTTTCTTCCACTCCAAACAATGTTTAACTTGCTTTCTGAAAATACTCGGATGTCAGCTTGGTATTTCCTTAAGGTCATATAACTGCATTGCCAGAGCCAAGAAGGGAAGAGCACCAAAACTACATATATGCAGAGGATTTACACTGGACTCTCCCAAAGTGCTAAGTCCCACTTCACTGTAAAATATCCTGACTTGTTTGCAGACGGAAAGGGGCCATTTTGGCTCGGAATATTAAATTTACATGGAATACACATCAGCAGTGATTCCTATTAGGCTCAGAAAAGGGAGTAGCACCAAATGTTGCTTAGACCACGACCAACACAGTTTCTACTCTCTTACTGTCTTCATATAAAAACCCTTGTTTGACATGGAAGTGGAATTCCTAGAAGTCTGATCCCTAGACTCTGCTCTGAGATTAGGATGGGGCAAACAGCTCTCACAAGTTAAAGCTGGTTTATATTATATTATAGGATACATGCAAGCTAAGCCTATGGTGGAGTCTTCAAACTCCAGTTTGGGAAAGGCCAAAGCATGGAAAGGAACAAGGAACGGGAGCCGGGTGTCTAAGGCAGATCTTCTCCAGATCTTATCAGCTTTGCTCCATGGGAATTGCATAGACCTATACTAGTTTACACCAGCTGATATCTGTCCCATGGGGCATGAATAGAAACATCTTTCTATCCAGCCTGGTATTTCTGTTACTGGAATTCACTAAGGATTGTCTGCAACATCCTAGCCCATAGCCAAGGAAATGAATGTGATGCCACAAATTTGCTATGATGTTTCACTTCAGGAACAAGGAAAACAGGAGCTGGCAGAGAAAGAACATTTGCTCACACGGACACCTTTGATATTTAGCCAAAATGGCAAGAAATTGTATGAAAGACAAGACAAACAAACAGTTTTGGGAATGTCATGTATTTTAAAGTTGCCTTCAGCAGGAAAATGTTAATTTAAATATACTTTCCTAAAAAAATTGCTATTCAGTATTGGAGTGTGTAGTTTATCAGACAGTTCTGGATTAAAAGGATTAACTTTTGATTGGTAAGGATGATTTGGGTGAGTGATGACCTAATGTACCACCAGGTCTCTCTTTTACAGACTAAGTTGACAGGTACATGTATTTGATATGAAGAGTTGTCCTGTTTCTCAAGGGACCAGGAGTCAGTTTAGCTGTCGTGGAGCTGTAGTGAGAGGATTAACTGAAGCAATGTGGTGCAACACAGCAATTCCTACTGCAGTGCATTCTGCAGATGAGGATCTTAGAGGGAACTGCAAATTTTACGAAATTAAATGATGCAGTCATCACCCTCTCTTTTATGGATGGGGAAAGGAGCAAAAAGAAAGCTCAAATGGCTTGCCCATAGGGTGCTCAGTCAATGCACAGCAGAGAAAGGGAGAGAAATCCAATCTCATTACAGAATCATAGAATTGTTTAAGTTGGAAAAGACCTTTAAGATCATTATATCCAACCACTAACCCAGCACTGCCAAGTACACCACTAACCCATGTCCCCAGGTGCCACATCCACACAGCTTTTAAATCCGTCCAGGGTTGAGGACTCGACCATTGTCCCTGTTCCAGTGCCTGACTACTCTTCCTGTGAAGAATTTTTCCTCACATCCGACCTAAACCTCCCCTGTGCAACTTTAGGCCGTTTCCTCTTGTCCCATCCCTTGTTCCCTGGCAGCAGAGCCTGACCCCCACCTGGCTCCACCCTCCTGTCAGGGAGTTGGAGAGAGTGGGAAGGTCCCCCCTGAGCCCTCCCAGCTTCCTCAGCTGCTCCTCACAGGACTAACTATCCAGGCCCTTTGACAGCTCCATTCCTTTCTCTGGACACGCTCCAGCCCCTCTGTCTTTCAACTGGATTTGAAGTGTGGCCTCAGCAGCGCCCAGCACAGGGGGCTGGTCACTGCCCTCATCCTGTGGCCACACTGTTGCTAGTACAGGCCAGGTGCCATTGGCCTTCTTGACCATGTGGACACACCTGGGCTCATGTTCAGCCACTGTTGACCAGCACCCCCAAGTCCTTTTCCCAGCAGCTGTCCAGCCACTCTGTCCCCAGCCTGGAGTGTTCCATGGGGTTGTTGTGACCAAAGGGCAGAACCTGGCACTTGGCTTTATGAATCCATTACTACAATCACAAGATCATTCTCCTCAGCCTGACACAAATACTGTTTAACATGAAAACTACTTCATGCAAAGGGACATTAACCAATAATGAGTTTGTTAAAGTTGTAAAGAGTTGTGAATCTTAGAAAATCACATTTAGTTTAAAAAAGCTTTTTAAAAATCAGGGTGTCTTAGTCTCTGCACTGGAATGAGGGCCACAAATTCTAACATTCTGATTCAGTTATGATAGTGCTAAAGTTCAACTGGCATCTAATGGAGGTGGTGTTTGCTTTGGGCAGTGAGATATTAAACCCCAAAACTGTCAAGTTCAAGAAAATACTGTGTTGTGCTTGTTAATGGTTACAAACCAAAGAAAATCAAGAAGAGATCTGAGATAAGATAATTTTGGGACTGCTTCTGATATCAAAGATGTGTTCTATTGAAAAAGCTTTTTATGGAGGAAAAATAAACCGCCCTAAAACTCATGAATCCCATCTCCATTATGTCATGTCATTGAGGAAAATGCTGGCTTTCCAAAAGGATAGGATTCGCATCTGAAATTTTCAACTCCCAGAGCGTGTCTGGCCACCCAGTAGCATCAAATCCCTGGTGTGGATCTCCAGGGGCTCTTCCTTCCTTGGACAGCACTAATGTTCATGTTTTGGTTAATGTCACAGCTGGAGAGTTTCACTATTGCTCTGAGAATCATTAACCACCTTGTTGTGATTTTTAGCTCTCGTTCCCAGGAGGCCATGCTGTATTGAACAGCTGCTCCTGGCTCCTGCACCCCTCAGGAGGGCCATATTCCAATTTTTGGTTGGGCCGTGACTGCATTTTGTTTCTGCTGAGGGCTTTCTGCTAGACCAAAAAAGGGAAGGAGAATGGAGCAAATGCCAACCCCTTTCACTCCATTTCCTTGGATGGGGGGGGCTTCATTCTCCTCCATACAACTAAGGAGAGAGTCTGGCCAAAATTTAACATCACTCCTGCCTTTGTTGCATAAGTGACTTTCCAATATCCTCAGGCTCTGCAGGGCAGTCAGCCATAGCCCGGAGACACTCCCAGAACTGGTGCGCTCCAGCAGCTCGTAACCATGGAAAACACCTTTTTGTGCAGCTTTTATGGAACTCTGGTGAATCTGCACTTGCTATTTGAAGGCTAATATTTAGTTAAGGAAAAATAAACACTGGGGGAAATGGAGGGTTGGTTCTGATTGACACACTGAATGGAGTCCAGTGGGTCCTTCTGGCAAACCCTCACTGCAGAGGCTTGCAACTTCAGTTTGCTTTACTCTTCACGTGGCCAATACTTCCACTGGCTTTGGTGTATATGTATTATTTTTTCTTAGAAAATGTTTCCTATAATCTACTTTTCTGTAAAATTTGTCCCTAAATTAAATTATATGCTTCTTTACAACTCAAGTCACTGTTATTCAAGCCCCTTACCAAAAGGAAGATGCGTGCCTGAATATGCACAGAACTATATGTTTAGACATCAGCGTAGCTAATTAACAAACAGTAATTATTTTCCTAATCTTTTGTTTAAATACCATTAACTGGCTGCTCTTGAGAAAACCTCGATTCCCAATTAACGTGGCAGCTGTCTGCTGAACACTGAGCCCAGTGGCCAGCCCCAGCCGACACCGACGGGTGTTCTGCTCAGTGGAGAAATGCCCGTTTTTCTGCCAGCTGAGAATCAGGCCAGACACACATTGAGCTTGTTTACACAATGACATTATCATAAACATTAAGTATTAAGATTACTGCTAAAATGATGTTGGGAATTTTTTTCTTTTCGACACCAGACACTGCCAGTAAACTGAGTCACAACTGTAATGACAAGTACACACTGACCTAGTTTTGTTTTTCCCGGTTCTGAAGACAAGGAAATAATAAGGCATTGCTGACTTTATTCAGTGATAACTATGACTAAACATTAACCTTTTAGATTCCACTGCTGAATCTTATTGATAGGACTTGAAAGACAGTATCTCCCATCAGAGAGCATCAAAACTTCCTGATAGCACAAGTGTTGGTCTAAGGTCAGAAAGAGGAGCGGAGGGGAGAGAATGAATCAACTTCTTTGCTCAACAAAAATCTGCTGATCAGTTCAGGAAGACCTGATTCTAGAAGATCGTGTTCACAGTCTTACCAGACTGTCTCATACTAAAACCCATTTTAATTTCCAAGCAAGCCAGAGCATCTTGCTGAGTTTGCAGTTGTGTGCTATCGTGTAGCAGAAGGCAATGCAAACCCCTGAGAACTCCCAGATCTTAAAAATGCCCCCTGGAACCTGTGCAAATCTTCTGAACAGTATATAAAGCTTTAAAAATGTAGGCTTCACTTGGTCTGAATAGTGAGTACCTCTTTGCACATCAAGCAGTGGTTGCATATAGCATTTAAATAATAAGCTTGAAAAGCACACAAAGGGATTTGCTCTTTCGATTAGATTGATTTTTGTTTGTGGATGTTATTTGGACTCCCTTCACTGTGGAACAAGTCCCCTACAGTTGCCATTAAAGCACTGAAAGCTTCCCTTTTGTTTTTAAATGTCAGTTTGAGCATAGCTTCATTAAATCATTTCACAATTAACTCCCTGAACATCCAGACTTTTTTTTAAAGCATCAGACACAGCTGAACTGCATTTGTTTCCCAGAAGAGTGAGTCCAAAGTGGTATCCCCATGTGTGTATCCAGGAATTCATATATTTGACTTGTGGCTTCACAAAATGCATATGGGAGCAGTGTGGGTGGTGGAGAGAGGATTAAAGCTTTCTCCCTAGCCCTGAAACATACCATAACTTCTTGCCCAAAGTGCAAGGCATAAGGGAAAGATGTCTGGGTTGATGTAGGAAGACTTATTCCCAAAAGAACTATAATTGAAGTAAACTGGAAAGAGTTGTTAGTTTAGCCCAGTTATGTCTAAGCAGCGATGTTTTCGATAAGACTGTCTGACTTCTATGTAGGATCTATCCTCAAAAGCCTGACTTGAGACACCAATTTATCACAGAATCGTAAAATGGTTTGGGTTGGAAGGGACCTTAAAGATCCAGTTCCAACACCCTGCCATGGGCAGGAACACCTTCCACTAGACCAAGTTGCTTAGAGCCCCATCCAGTCTGGCTTTGAACCATTTCTTGCATGGGATATGAACTTGCCTCCTTAAGACAACAAAAAACATCCCAAAGGTCCGAGGTCTGTGTTGCAGATTAGCTACTGGCCTTGATTTCTCTCACACATGGTTACGTGAAATGCCCAGAGAGTCAGAAATAAAACTGCAACCTTAACGCTTTTGTTGTTAACACAGAAGCAGCTCAGAATTTTGTCCATCATATGGAGAGCAGAGAGCTCTCCTGCTCCCCAAGAGCTAGTCCAGTCCTCATCTCTGAGCAGCGACCAATAGTTGTGTGTGGCTGTTAGCCCTTGGTTCCCGCTGTGTCTGTACTTACTTGGAGAAGTGGGAGAGGTGGCCCCTCCTTCTGTTGATGTAGTTGGAGGTTTTGTGTCTGGCACTGGCAGAGGCACAGGCCTAGCCATTGGTGGCGGAGGTGGTGGTGGCAACATTGGGGTAGGAAGGAATGGATTGTGCACCTTGCCTTGGCTGCTACCATTGGGCTGCCGAAAAACAAGCAAACACAGAAATTATACTAAAAATCAGCTATTATCAGGAACCTCTAGTAATAACAATCTAATTGAAAACTATGTGCAACACATTTACTATTACTTGAGAGGTGGCAAAGAAAGTCCCATTAGCAGCTGGTCTGAAATGTCCTGGATTAAATTCTGCTCCTCTTTACATTTCCTGCAGCACTAACCCACGCTCAGTGAGAGGTGAAGCAGGATTTTTGACCCCAGCTCCCCAGTTTTGTGCCTCTGTTATCCCCTTGGGATATCAGTGCCTAGGACTCGAGTGTAAATTTCTTGAAGATACTGCTCATTAAGAGAAAAAACAAGCATTTTTGGTGGTCTTAAAAGTCATGCTGATATCTTATTACAGGAAAATGAATGAGTATATTTTAAAATAATTGCTCTCCCACATCTCTTTTGAGTTAGCAATAGCGTACCTCATGTTTTAGTTGCCATTAGGATTATATGGAAAAATGACTGGACTTAGAACCGCTTCATTTTACACATTGGGAAAAAAACACCCTCCCTTTAGTCTGGGATGTGGTCAGTCACAGGCTGAAGGGGCTGAGCTATACACGTGTAGTCTTTCAATTAATCACCAGAAAAATGTGTCCATAAGTAAAAGTGTTTTCAAGTATCAAAAAAACAAGAAGCAGGCTTAGAAAAACATGCCAACCCTTCCCCCAGCTTTATTAAGTTTACATTTTAAATGTAACTCAGCCTGGACACTTGAAAACCATACAGATAGATGCCAAATACCATTACAAAGAGAAAGTAGGACAGGCTGTGAATCAGGTGTTCCATTTTAGTGACAAAAATGATGAGATCATTTTCGACAGCACTCTGCAAATTGATCTCACTGCAGTTCTTCTGGCACTGAGCATTGGCTTTTCCATTGATGATAAAAGCTCAGCTTTAAACACAGATCCATATTCTAAGTACTGCTAAAGAAAATAATATTTTAATTCCTGTTATGGTTTCCATTAGCCTGAATTACTGGGGACAAAATACTCATCCTGGCAAAACACTTGGGACCTTATTTTCATTTCACCTGTTCTGGCACTGACAAAAAGCCTTGAAGTTGTGGAGGTGCAAATCACACTTGTGGTAGAGCAAAAATGGTTGAGGGCATAAATAAGACTCAAATTCATCTGCATTTAACTTAACAGCACTCCCACAGACTTCAAAGACTGCAGTTACTAGTGTTTGCAGCAAGAAGCAATCCTTCAGGGATATTTATTTTTCCAACATCCAGCACCTTTAATAAACTAATATATTAGTGACATCTCTCAAACACTATCTTGTCTCCCAATTAGGTCCCTTTCCTGCCAAGAAGACCCCTGCTGCATGTTCATTGTGAGTGTGCTAACAGTTCATAATGTTGAATGGTTTGGGATAAATTAAGCAAATGAATACTCAAGGAAAAAGAAAAGCACTGTATTGATTTGTTGTCTAGACATAAATGTATCTGCTAACATATTGCAGACATTATTCAAAGCCAGGACTAGCTGGAATAAGTAGAGTCAGTTTTTCTGCTGGGGAAAGGAAAACACTGAGAACAATACAGCTTATTAAATAAATGTAATAAATTAGATGCTAATAATTAAACTAATTCTCATTAACACTTTCAGTTGTATGTATGTCAGGAGAGAAACAGTAATTTTGCCAGTTATTACTTCATTGGCTGGAAAAAGTTACATGCATTACATTTCATGAAATATTCAGAGCATTATTTTAGATTTGATTTACATAAAATTTATAAATTCTGTATTCAACTGGAATGCTATTTCAATAATAGCAAGATGATTCACTTTATTTGATTAAAAAAATGAAAATGGTTATTTGAAGCTTTGGAACTCTGCTTAATTTTTCATAGAGATAAGGGGAAAAGATAACTGCTTACAGAAATAACAAACCATAATAAACTGTACTTTTAACATCTTGAGTTCAAGTACTGGTCAACTTGATCTAAAGTGCTATAAGGCAGTATTTTTTTTTTTTAATGAACTTAGTTGATCTGAAACATCTGTTTCTCACCCTCCCTTTTCCTGCTCCATCCCCCCCACTCTCCCCTGAACTTCAAAAATAATTAATAAAAATTATTCTGCCTTCATATTTGGTTAACCCTCGTTGCACAAGGGTTACAACATATGAAGCAAAGTCATTTGTGGGGGGACCCAGAAGGTCACTGTAGCACCAGCTTCTCTGACAGTTTAAGCTAATTTCACCACAATGTGGTCGAGTGTTTTTTTGGGGAGGTTTCATGTTGTTTTTTAAAATACTTTTGCAGTAGCAGCATATTTTTAATTTTTTTTTTTCCTTCCAGCAACTATTCCAGGTGTGCTCCTGCACGCAACATGCTGTTAAAATAACCCCATAAATAATCCCATGGTTAATTTTTTACATAGGACAAACACTTCTGAAGAAAGAAAAACGGCTTCCTTACATTTAGGAACCCCACCTGTCCAGCCTGCTGACCAGCGTCGGGGCAGACAAGTTGGACAAACTCTTTCAGAGTCTCCTGAGGATGATAGCGGATTGCTGGGTGTGAGAAGTATGGCCCAGGCTGTTGAATAATGGGTGATGTTGGAAAATGAAGAGTCGATGGTGTTGCATGTGGACTTGCTATAGGAAAGAAAACAAAGACGTTATATAGAGTTTTGCCTTCGGAAAATAAAACAGTTTAAATCTACTTTTAGTCTTTCTTTTTTTTTTTTAAATGTACAGTATTTTTTATACATCGGATCTTCACAATTAATATATTAGACCACATTGTGTCCTACACTCACTTCATCTACATCCTGGAAGCAAACGGAGCCAGACATTTTGAAGGATTTTCTGTATTTTTAGTGGACATGTATAAAGGAACCAGCAGTCCTTTGTGAGACTAAAAACTATTCATCACCTTAAGGGCAGCCCTCATCAATCAGGCAATAAAAAAAAGGGGAGATTAGGGTTGATTTAATTGACATTTCATGTAACTTGGATTTGCACATATGAATCCATTTTATATTGTATATAAATGGTCGATAATTTAAAGATGATCTAACGTTTCTTGTTGTTGGGGTTTTTTTCCCACCTCAGTTTAGAAACATTTATTTTAAGTAACGTGTTTTCATCTAATGAACATGCACAAAGTGGTGAGATCGTTTGGAAAATTACATTTACATTTCCCCTGAATAACGTTAGCCTCAAATCTTCAGCAAGCCCCCAGCTTGCATTCAGGGATGAAGTTTAATTTGGTGAATTTATGGGCCAACAAGCCAGCTGGAAAATGTACTCCAGAGAAGGTGCAGAGGTGTGATGTACACAAGCCCATTGGCAATGACCAATTTTACCCTCAGCTGATTTCAGCAGAACTACAAGTGCAGCTGAAGAGCCTTCTGCTCTTCTGCATTATGTGACACCTTTGCCCAGTTCCTTGGCCTTCAAAATGTATGGGGTTGGACCCTTGTTAGTCAGCAGTGTTTTCCACTGTTAGTTGTCACCATGAAGTAGCAAGTGCTGCCACTTACAGTGCCATGAATTGTCCCTTTCCCCTCTAAAATGAGAATTCACTCTTCTTTTAGAATGACCAATTAATCTGGTGTGCACAAAGTCATCTGTAAATCATAGTTTATTTCTCACCGAACAGTCATTGTTATGTTCCTGTTGCTCCCTTGGCACGTTATCCTTGGAATCTTTGAGGGGTGTCCATGTGCATAGACTGCACTTGTATACCACACATAACCAATTAGATAAAGGCTATGCAGGGGAGGGAATATCGTACAGAAACTCATGTGTTGGCTTTGAAGTATATTAAATATACAAGAGGGAAAAAAAAAGCCTTTGGCACTTCCAGAAAAATTGGAGAGATGCAGGAAAGTTAACTAAAATCAAACAGAAATGAGCAAACATTCATTTCATGATGAATGTTATGAAAAACCTTCAGTTAAATAAAAGCTAAAATCTGCTTCTTACTCTTGTTCATTGCCAGTTTAATAATATAACACTTTATTAATAATTTTTTCTTAAGCATTATTAAACCATTAGCAAACTCAAGAGCCTGAAGATGTGGATAAAACATGTACTCTGAGACAGCAGCAAGGAAACTACTGCATTATCCTGTAAACATTCATTAAGGGTTGGCTGGGCAGCACTTCTATGCTCTTCCTTCTCCATGATGGGATAGGAATGATTGACACCACCCCCAAAAAGAGCTGCACTCATGCCAGGGGTGCTGGTATGGGATGGATGTGAAGGTCTCGTTCTTGCCATGAAAAGCTCTCTTGTAACCATGTTAACCCCACAAATCTGCTCCCCTTAATACTGTTCACAACAGAGAGAAACACACACTAAATGTGTGGTAATAAATGGGAAAACGCCACGGAAAGAAAGCATAGAGATGAGGAGCCAAAAGACACGCAGCCTTCAGCTGTCTCTGGTGGAAGCAGATGGATATCCAGAGAAACTCCTTGGAAAGCATGGGCTATACCTATCTTATAACACCTAGATATCATGGCATGTGGGCTGAGCTGAAAAACAGTGTCTTCCCACAGCTGTGCCAGGTCTGCAGCGCTGCACTTGGGAAAAGGAAACAAGAAGCAGCATATCCCACACTCCTCGTTATGGAAATGTTGACAGTTATTCCATGGCCAAGGCAAACACCTGTGTACCCAGCCTGTTCAACCTGTCTGCACATCTGGGCTTATCTCCTGTGTTTTTTACAAACCTTGTTAATTATTTCTTATTCACTTTTAAGACAAATAGTTTCGTTTGAGTTTGCATCTTAAATCACAGTATATTTGAAAACTCTTCAGATAAAGAACCCAAATCTTCAAAGGAAGAAATAAAGGCTGTTTTCCTGTCCCCAAACTCCTGGGAGAGGCTGTAACTTTGAAGTGTGCTATTAAAGGTAGAGATAATGGGGAATTCCCCTTAGGAACTCTGGGTGTCTACCATGGAGCCAATTATTAGAGTCAACAGAGAACTAAGCAGAACTAACGGTGTCTAAGGAGTTGTTCATCTTATCCCAAACAGACCCCTGCCTTTGACTGGACTTCACTGACCACACTGACTGGCTCACTGGTGGATGTGCAAGGAGCCCACTGGTACTGCTCTGAGGTAGATACCTCCAGTCTATGTACACACCTTCATTTAGGTGAATCCTACCTAAAGTGGCAGCCTCTGATCTCACCTACACCAACCCCTGAGGTGGAACCACTTTAATGACACTCATGTCAGAGCCACTTCAGAGGTATGAAGATACCATAACCTATTCCAGGAAACAGCAGTAATTTTAGAGCTCCTCAAAACATTTTACCAGGAATATTGCTTCAACTGAAGCTGTCAGCAAGTGTTTTGATGACTACAACAACATTTTTATTATCATACAATATTTCTATCTTTTTTAAATATGAAATATATTCTTCCTCTCTTTCTTCCTATCTCCTTTTGTAGTTTCCCCTTTCCTTGTGTGTCAAATGGAATATGAAGGATGAAGATAAAAGTGAGAAATGAAAATTTATGTGGCAAGCATCTAATTCCGTAAAAAAATAGATTGGGATTTTAAAAATATTTTTTAAAAATTTCCTTTTAGTATCAGCTCTTTTAAGACTATTTGAAATTGTTAGGCAACTGCACTGTTGTTTGTACATATCTGGGAACAAACTCATTCCTATTCTTTCTCTGGATGAAAAGGAGATAGGCCTGAGACCACACTGAGACCACACTGTATTTAGCTTTTCCAAGGTGTGGGTCTTCATTTAATAATTTGATTTGCTCTATGAAAGATGAAATAAATATTCACTGACATGTAAGTAGTGAGTCTTTCTCTGTTGCCTTGACTTCCTCAGCATGTGAGGGTAGAAAACAAAGTGGAAATCATGTGTCACTGATCTTCCCAAACAGAGAGAGAAGAAAAATGAATGCAGAAATAAGCAGCAATAATTCAGCAAAGCAAAGTGCTGCAAAAAGGAGAAAGTGGTTCCTCTTCAGAGTCTTGGCCAACTCCTCAGCACAGCACAGCTGAGGGCTTTCTGCTGACCACAGGAAGGACTGGGGGAAGGAAACCAGACCAAATAGGCATCAGTCCCCAGTCTGTGCCATACACTGACATGGAGGGGTCATTTTCTTCTTGGCATAAGAAGTAATGAGTGGAATACAGATCTCCAAAAGGTTTGTTTTTGCAGCTTCTGACTGGGAAATACCAAATTTCTCAAGAGGCAAAAGGAGGGGCTGTTTGGTGAGAGGAAAAATCCACTACTATTAAACTGATCAACATTACAAATGTGCCTGCCTGATACTAGAGAGAGGGAATTAAATGCTTAAGTCTAAAAACTGCTGGCCCAGATACAGACCATTACTCCGATGGTTGTGTTGTGGTCAGCAACTCTGGTGAGTGCAAAACTGGCTGCTCAAACAAGTTCTGAGGACAGAACATAAGCATGTTTCCAAATATAGGGATCCCCACAAATATTTTGAATCAGTTAAAGCATGAGAGGTAATATAGAACAGGTTGCTATTTTCCTTGTTTGCCTCTGAAATGTCCCTTTGGTCATGATGTTCAGAAACTCTTAATGAAAATGATAGTCATTAATTCCAAAAACCACACCTACGGTAATGCAAATGGTCCTGTGTATGAGAAGAGGCTCCTACTACTTCTTCTGGAATATTACAAGTCTTAATCAGTGATTGTAAATTCTTTGAGATCTTCAAATGGAAGATAAAATAGGTCTTTGTCTATTATTTATTTACTTATTGACTTATTATTTATGTATCCCTAAGCAGCTCCATCCTGCCAAACCGTATTTCTCCTGGCGTCTTTCAGCCTGTGACATTTATATTTTATTATTGACCTCAGTAAATGACATAAAATATAAGTTCTACAACCTATGAAAAGATGTGTATTCCAGATCAGAACTTCATTTTACCTGCTGTAGGTACAGAGGAGTTGGACTATCTGGTGTTATTAAATCTGTTATTTTGTGTGGGGGTTGGAGGCAGGAGTTATCCTTCCATTTCAAGGCAAGCATAAATATTTCAAAGCACACATGATTCTAATTCCATTGAAGCTCGTCTGAAACATCTCAGACTTTTTATTGAAAATGAGATGATAATGTATGGTGGCCTGCAACAGATATACCAGTATTTTAAAACTACTGCTATTGGGCCAAGTAATTATGCAGTACAGCTGTTGTGTGCTACACTGGATTCTTCAGTTTTTTATGAGCTTGTGGTGCTGTGCAGCACAGAAGTCAGAGGGTTTTTCAGAACGCTGAATTCAAACGTCTGATTATGCAGGTCTGTCTTGTCTTTTCCCTTCTTGATTTGTAGTAGCCAATAACAAAATAAGTAATGAATAAAATAAGCTTCACTTATTGATTAGGTGAGCACTGCACATGGCTGAGGCTATGAAGAAGTGCCAAAATTGTGAATTTTGTTCGACTGAGTGATCAGATAATAAAAAATAAGTTAATTTGAAACAGGTTATAGTTTTCTTCAGATATTTAGTACCCTGGAACAAAGGAGCAGTCCTGATAAAGAGAAATGGGATCTTTGTTCCCAGGGAGTGCTCACTGATGTGGTAAAGGGATGTTGGGATCGCACCTGCAGTGCTCAGATTTCTCCACCAGCACAGCCCAACA